CTTTTGCTAAATAGGAAAACAAGACTGAGAAGCTAATCAGTACTTTACAAAGCTAACAGTTCTTTCTTTGAGACTTGTAGAGTTTTGAGAAGTGATTATGGCCAAATGACTGGAAACTGACCTTGGGCACCAGCCAAGTCAACCAGAGCTCTGCAGAGCAAAACTATGCAAAAGACTTTGTTGAAGAGTTGATTCCACTCTGGAGCAAATCAAAATCTTGCAGGGTCCTGAGATAACAGCAAGGATGAGAGCAAAAACCAGACGAGGTCTTGGCAAGACCTTGTACCTGACTCATTGACACGGACCCCTCATAGCTTACATACCCTTCCTTCCTACTTTTCATTTCCCATGTTCCACTCCCATATTCCCCTTTTAAAAACCCCCTCAGTAAACCTGAGTCTTTGAGATGGCTTCAGCCTGGCCATTTTCCTTCTGGTTTACTGGAGAGATGGGTTAGCCTAACACCTCTCCTCAGGTCACCAGTATTCCTGAATAAAACTTGACTTCCATTTTCACCAATATTTGACTTTTGTTTGTTTGTTTTTTGTCTGGGGGCAGGCAGCTGGACCTGTGAGTTTGTTATCAATTTTGGGGAGCTTCAGCCAGGAGCTGAGTGTGTGCTGTAACATTGGTAGGTTGTATGTGTCCAGAAATTTATGCATTGCTTCTAGATTTTCAAATTTGTTGGCATATAGTTGTTCATAATGGTCTCCAATGATTCTTTGTATTTTGTAATATCAGCCATAATGTCTCCTTTTTCATTTCTTATTTTCATTATTTAGGTCTTTTCTCTTTATTTCTTAGTCTAGCTAATGGTTTGTCAATTTTGTTTATCTTTTCAAAAAACCAACTTTTGTTTCATCAGTCTTTCATATCTTTTTTGACTCTATTTCATTTAATTCTGCTCTGATCTTTATTATTTCTTTTTGTCTACTAATTTTAGGTTAGATGTTCTTGCTTTTCTAGATCCTTGGGGTGCAACATTAGGTTATTTGAAATCTTTCTATTCTTTTGATGTAGCATGTATTGCAATATAATTCCCTCTTATTACTGCTTTTGCAGTATCCCATAGGTTTTGGTATGTTATGCTTCTATTTTCTTTTGCTTCTAGGAATTTTTTGATTTCCTGCTTAATTTCTTCTTTGACCCATTGGTTGTTCAAGAGCATATTTAATTTCCATGCATTTGTACAGTTTCCAAAGTTTCTTTTATTGATTTCTGGTTTTATTCTTTTATGGTCTAAAATGATACTTGATATGATTTCAATTTTTTAAGGTTTCTCTCTGTGTGAGTTCTTCAACTTTATTGAACATTAGAGTTGTCTGTGGTTGCCTCTGGGCCTAGGCACTGGGGTGCTCAGCAGCTTCTTGTTGAAGTGGGCAACACTGGGCTGGGTTGCTTGAGTCATGGACAAGGTCTCGGGTTTTTGGGAGAAACACTGGGGTCCTCTGCAGCTCCTCAGCTGGAATGGGTGATCCTGGGTGTGCTTGCTGGGCTCCAACCAAGATCCTGTGCCCCTGATAGTGGTGCTAGGGTGCTCTGAAACTCCTCAGATTAAACTGGCAACACCAGGTGGTATTGCTGGGGCATGGCCAGGACTTTGGACTTTGAGGAAGATGATGAGGCACCCAGCAGCTCCTCAATTGAAGTGGGTGACTCTGGGTGGGATCACTTGGGCTTCTGGCTGGGCCCTGAACCCCAGAAAGAAGTGATTGCCACTCTGCAGTCCCTCAGCTGGAGTGGGTAAGGTTGTTGAGTTTGTGGATGGGATCTTGTGTCCCCAAGAGAGACACTGGGGCACTGTACAACTTCACTGTTTAAGTGGGCTGTTTTAAGTGAGGTCGCTAGGGTCATGGGCAGGGCCCTACACACCCAAGGGAAATGCTGGGTCACACTGTAGCAACTCAGCTGGGGTGAGTGGCCCTGGGCAGGTTTGATGGAGCTGTAGATGGGACTCTGTGTCCCTGGGAGAGGTGCATGAGTGCCCACTGAAGAAAGCAGGGCCACTAGCAGTGGCAGAGGGCCCTGATTGGGTGGCTTTCTGTCCTGGGGGTGGCCTCTGCACTGTGCTGAACTGCCTGTTCCCAGGGGTGCAGGGTGCCACATGAGTTCCGGTGACGGAGTCACAGTGTGATGAGGGGGACTTAGGGCTGTGGAGATATTGCAGTTATTGAGCCCCAGGGCAGAACACACTCACATGTTGGCTCTGATCTTAAAATGGTGAAATGCTCTGACAGTCTGGGATCCAGAGGGTGGGAGGTGCTCAACCTCAACTCCCTCCCTGATCCAATGCAGCATTGCACGGGCTCCCAGCAGCTCCCAACACTGGGCTCACAGCCTGCAAGGACAACATGGCTTCTCTATAGCTTGAATTACAGGCATCCACAGTGAAAGCAGGGACTTCTGGGAACTCCCCCCACCTACCATTTCCCTACAGCAAGGATTAAAGATTTCCCCAGAGATAGTGTGCAGCTTTGCAGCTTCAGTTCCAGCCTGATGGGGAGGGGGTTTGCTGCAACTGGGAGGGATGGGTGGAGTGGTTCCACCACAACCTAGTCCCTAGGGTTAGGGTAGGATTAAAGATTTCCCCAGAGATAGTGTGCAGCTTTGCAGCTTCAGTTCCAGCCTGATGGGAAGGGGGTTTGCTGCAACTGGGAGGGATGGGTGGAGTGGTTCCACCACAACCTAGTCCCTAGGGTTAGGGCTTAACAGCTGCTCTCAGCTCAATAGAGTAGGGAAGTAAGTTCAATGGCTGCTTAGTCTCTCCAGCAGCAGTTCCAGTTTCAAGATGGTGCAGTAGCTGTGCAAGCCACAGAGGGTAGGACACAACGTTGGCTGCTCTGGGGAAGCACAAGTGTGTGGACTTCAGGCAGCTCTCTCAGCTGGGCTTAGTGCCTGTGAGGACTGCCAGGGTCCCCATTGGTGAGGACAGTAGGTATCCAAGGTAGGTGTTGATGGGGACTTCTGGGGTCCTCTTGCTTACCTTTTTTTCACAGGGAGAAATTCGTCCTGGTTTCCTGAAAGTTTAGCAAAGTGTTTTGTTCTTGCTGGGGGATGGGGTGGTGGGGGCCAGGTATTTTCTTTTGTTCTCTATGTGGCTATCCTGAATTTCTGTGCTCACCAGTGCTTCTGTTACTCCTTTGATGTACTCAGTGATCTCCTTTAGTTATTTTTGTCCAAGTGTAGCTGTCTATTTATTATTTTGTGATAAAGAGGAGCTGTAGGGTCTTCTAATTGGCTGTCTTCCTCCCCTGATTGGCTTGCATTATCTTGCTGAAATTTTGCTAAAGGCTTTCTCCTAGCATACTTCAGTGGCAGGTGGTTGACAAGCTGGAACAGGCATAACTTAATCAAAAGAATAAACAATTAAATCTATTTCAAAATGAGGTAGAAGTTGATGGTAATTGGCTTTCTACCTTCTAGTGTCATCCTCTAGTATCAGTATAGGTATTTAAGTAGGTTTATAAATTCTGTGGAGATTCAACCCTAGAGTGCTACTACAGTATGGCTGATGTACAGAGAAGAATCTAAGTTATATTATTCAAATACAAAGATGTTTTGGGAAGCAAGAATTTTTGACTTAGATATGTATTTACATCAACTAAATGCAGAATGTAGTCCAACAGCAATTGTATTTTGATTCTCTTTCTTAGAAGAAGGTACTTGATGGGAGAGAGGGAGAAATTTCTTGTAGGAATGATGCCTTCTGAGTAGTTTTCTTGTATGTTATAGAATCTATAGCATAACCTTGCTTAAACAGATTACCATAAGATCCTTATAATCTGCAGTGGCACTGATGAGATTACTTAACTTATTGAATGAGCTAATATAAGTCAAGTCTTTAGGACAGTAGCTAATATATGTTGAATAAATATTAGTTTTTGTTTAGAATCTGGATCAAAATCTTTCTCCATGAAGTTTCTGAACCTAAATGTCACTCATTTGCTACGTTTCAGAAGGATCAGCAATTCTGCCTTGTGTTTTCTGAGTATGAATTTTGATATAGGGATCAAAGTTCTTCGCTTCATGTGTATTTGTCTGACATAGTCTTGGAAATATTTTTCTTTAATAGAAACCCAACAAACCTGTTTATTTTTCCAATTTATAGGTCTGATTTTATAGTTCCATTTACTCAGGCTCTCATCCAAGAACTTTCTAGGCATGTAAAAAAAA